ATTTTGAATTTTTCAATTCCAGTGAATACCTCCTCGATTGTCATACTCCCCTGATACTTTTTCAAAAATTTTGAATTTTTAAATTTCAGTAAATACCTCCTCGATTTTCATGTTCCCCTGATACATTTCTTAAAATTTCGAATTTTCAAATTTCAATGAATACCTCCTCCATTTTCATGCTCCCCTGATACTTTTTTGGAAATTTTGAATTTTTCCATTCCAGTGAATACCTCCTCGATTGTCATACTCCCCTGATACTTTTTCAAACATTTCGAATTTTCAAATTTCAGTAAATACCTCCTCGATTTTCATGCTCCCCTGATACATTTCTTAAAATTTCCAATTTTAAAATTTGAATGAATACCTCCTCCATTTCCCTACTCCCCTGATATTTTTTTGAAAATTTTGAATTTTTCAATTTCAGTGCACACCAATTTCGTAACGCAAAAAATAACATTCACCCCATCGACTGGTCCCTCCGACAGCGGAACTGCAACCGAGTAGCCGACGGGATGACACCCCCCTCCCCCCCATTGCGTGTGGGGCCCACCCTCCATTAAGACCCATTCCACTCCTCAATATCTGTGGCCGTGGCTCCGCTAATTCTTATATATTTATTTATAAAAAAAGGCATGTCGAACGAAATCAGTGCTTTGCAAAATGTTGAACTCTCAATTGACAAATGTAATAAAATAAAAATATAATATTTAATGCAGATTATTATAATGAGTTAACAGATAATATAGGAGTATTATGTTCATTCATCGAAGGAATCCCTGAGTGTAGAATTGATATATTTTCTTGGCGAGAATTGGTCCCAACCTCCGCTTGGTTCTAACAGACTGCAAAGATGTCAGAAGTGCCACTGCTCCAGGTCCTGCATCATCCAGGGCTTTCTTCAAGGCCATGGGAGACTTATAATACTGAAGGATTGTCAAAATTCCCTCTGGGGCGAGTCCTCTTATCGGGAGGAGTTGTTTCATGAACATCTGCTGGACATCGAGCGCTCTAAGTTTCATAGAAGACTCATTGAACTGTTTGAAATCCATGAGAGAGATTTCCTCAGCATCGAAGTTGATTTTATCGGGAAGACTATTCTTATCACACTGGATTAACAATTTATCCTTGAATAGCTCGACAAGATTTTTCGTGAATGTCGCCAGGTACAGCAAGGAATCTCGATGACTACTGGTGTCCTTCACGAAGAATCCATGGTGAATAATTGAATTCACTGCTGCCTGCAGTATATTAGCCTCTGGTATGGAATTATTCGTCGTACCATGCGGCAGTTGCTCAATCATGTAAACAATATTGGGAATTCCACTCTTTTTCAGCCTGAACTTTTGCTCGCCATACCTTCCATCCTTCATACTCGCAGCGAAATCATCAATTCGCTTGCGTTCAATGATGTATGGAAGAACTAATTCTTGACGAGTCCTGCGGCATTGTGCGATCCAAAGGAAGTCCCCCACGTGCAGATGACGAATCTCAAAATTGATTTTTTCACGAGTCAATTGTGATACTACGTCGTCTTTAACTTTCCCTTTTACTTCTTGAGTGTCAATCAGCAAAATAATATTAAAACTTCTGGGTATTAGACTGAATTTGGAGGGTCTGACGAGAGTAGCCGACTCAATCTGCACTTTTTTAGAGGAGACATTAGTGCTTTTGTTGATTGAACATTTATTAACCAAAGCGATCCCTTCGTTCTTGCTAGAACAAGGCCTTCCCATTAAGGCTTCATCGTCATAGGATTTCAAATTCCTATTTTCCTTCTGTTCTGAATTTTTAACATTAATTTGTAATATCTTTTCTGCTGAGTGAAGCTCATGTCCAGGTTGACCAGCAGCTCGATGTTGTTCCAATCTTAGATCAATTAGAGTGCATAATTTTTTGCCAAAGTG